AGAGCAGGAGCGACCCTTCACGGACCCTTCACGGATATAAAATAATTTTTATTATTATTAATAATATCCTTTGATCTAACGATGTGATCAAAGGATCCAGGTGATTGTAAGTAAAACTGAGACTGAAGTCGTCCTCCCTGGATGGGATAAAGACCCAACAAATCTGCCTCCCATCTGTACAGCTGTGACTGAAGCGCGTTCCTCAGTGAGGATGCCACAGCTGGATCTATTCTGGGGCTTCTGACCCCATGATCCTCGAGCACTGGGTCCAGTGCCCACACCACCACTTCAGGCCGGCCCATCCCAATAAAAGAAGCCCATCTGGGGCTGCAGAACCCAGGACCCTTAACATATGAAGCACGTGCCGTCGGCCATGCCGATGTCCAGCAGCACAGCTCTGTGCCCCTTACCCTCTCGGCCTCCCCTGCGTCATTCTGCGGCGGTGTGCCCTCGGCTCTGTCCAGATTCGCTGCCTCCTCTGCCAGTCTCTTGCTCTCTGTCTGCAACCTGGGGAGAGCACAGAGAGATGCCTCAGACACGTTCCCATCAGCCTTGCTCGTCTTGTCAAACAGGGCTGCAGGGCGGACACAGCTTCCTTTACCTCGCCCCTGTGCTCAGAAACCCTGCACACGTAACCCCGGGGGCTCACCCCTGGGTGCCAGGCAGGCTCAAACACAGTTATGCTCTTCAAGGGAGCACGATGGGCAGTGCCAGCCTGCCTGCAGACTTCTCCTCCCGCAGATGATGAGCTGGGTCAGGGGCGCACACTGTGTGGCGTGTTTCGGAAGCAGCTCTGCCCGGGCCCCACTGGGGCGAAGGAGGCTAGGGGTCTTACTTGTCTATGCGCTCCTCGATCTGCTGCGCCTGCAGGCCCCAGAGCGGGGAGCGGGGGCTGGGGACCTCGGGGCTCAACGGGGGGCCTTCCATCAGCCACTGGTCCCGCAAGGATTTCCGCTGCAGGGTGGAGACAGAGATGAGGGCGCAACGTCTTAACGGGTTTGACGAAAACGAGGGTGAAATACAGTACGTTATTTGTGCTCAAATCACATACAAGCGAGAAGCTCCCTAAAATCGAGTTTCATCCCCAAGCGATCAGACCTTTCTCAGTTTTTATTCTCTGGGAATTACATCTCCAAGGGGCTGGGCTTTTGATCAAGCCAGACTCCACCCAGTTATTTTACAAGTACAGTTTTCAGTGATGTTTTAATTTTAAAACGCAGTTACAGTACATGGAGTGCTGGCTGGATCAGACACTGATCTGGACTGCAGCTGAGAATCACCCTTCTGTGTGATACTTTGCCCTTAACCTGCAGTAGCAAGACATTTACCACGACTGTGCTCATCTGATACAATCGTGATGCCACAGTTTCCACAAGAAAAAGTCAGTGGTTCTCTTTTATTCTGCTCTGATTGATTAATGTTTGTACTTCTATACTTGGACCTTAACACTGTACTGGCAGAAGGTACTTGGAATTAGAAGCAAGACTTGGTGGAGGAAAGCTGTTTGCAGAATTCTTATTTTCTTATAGATGGTGTGTAGGGGGGCTGACCTGTTTTTTGTTAGTTTTTTTAGCAAATGTGCACAGAACAATTCCAACTGCTTTCCACGGTCAGCATCTACACAACAATCTGGAGCTGGCTTCTCTTGCAGTAGTACTGCAAAACGGGCCAAAGTCCGCCTATCAACTTGTGCAGGTTTTGATGGGTGCTCTATCCTCAGTGCGATTAGTCACTGGAATTTCCTGGCTTAAAATGCCTGACTTCCCAAAACAGACCTCAGTCCAGCTCCCTCACTAGCTGATAATCTCCTCTGCACTGGTGCTGATGCAGAGCATTTAGCAGGTACTAGGCTTCTTCCTTCATGCTGCTTTCTGTAAATTTTCCGTGTACTACGCCCAAATCACACATGACAGCAAGTCTAGATTTCTGTTTCTAACGCATGAAGGTGCACTGCGGATGAGAGGTTTCCAGTGCACCGTGACCGGGGGGGAGATACAACAGCGATGCTGAAGAGAGAAACAGAGGGTAAGAGGGGTGGCTTTCACAGGAGAATTTCGGAGGGCACTAGTCCCATACAGCAACGAAAAAATGAATTCACTTCTTGGCTCGCTTGGTTCACTTCGTTCAGGAAGAGGGAACGCCAGTCTCGGAACAATGGGAGAGCAGAAGACTGAAGCGTTCGAGTAAACAGACCAGCCCGTAAAATGAACTGTGGGTAGAAAAAAGAATTGTGAGAACCGGGCAGAGGATGGGGCTCTTCTGGTCAGGGGCATGATGCAGTAGTAAAGCAGAAGAAACAGTCTTGCTGTTAAAAAGACCAGCTTGGTTTCTCACCACAGATGCACCATAGAGTGTGATCAGCTCCAGAACAGCTTATAAACCTTTGACGTAGTTGAACATAAAACCCTGATGATAAATGCCTAATAAATGAAGTCCATGGTGTGCTAAGGCTGGTCTCAATACAGATACTTTTTTAATCAACTGAATTTGTGTTTTTTGCATCAGATTGAAGGTTGGGCCTTGGATTCTTGTGAAGTACTGATAGCGGAGGTTGGTGACAAAGAGGAGGTGGTCCAGGCAAACCCGAGAAGTCTTGAGGACCAATGCAGATACATCTTGCTGCTGTTCTCATATGCTGCTTGAATATATCGAGTGCCCCGTCTTGTTAAAATGAGCGCTTGCTCATATTGTGGAATCAACCACTTTTCACAAAGTACGTCTACCGCAAGCGTGTCTGTGTTATGCCGAAAGTTCAGGCTACGCAGCCCTCCTGTGCCAGCCTCTTCCCTGCGTGGTGTTTGCCGGCGCTATTCATTCCTGGTCCTGGAGGGTCTCAGTCAGTGCACCAGGTTTTATAAGGAGCCTATTATACAGATCAGCTGAGCGGACAACTGAGAGTCCAAAAACAAGCAGGAGAAACAGTGGCCGTCCAAGAGCAGGAGCGACCCTTCACGGACCCTTCACGGAAGAGCGCCTCGCCGAGGGCAGGGCGGTGCGCACGCTCGGTACCTTCATCTGCTGCAGCCGCAGTTTCTCCTCCTCCATCTCCCGCCGCGCTCGCTCCTGCTCTTCCTGGATGCGCCTCTTCTCCTGAAATGGGGGGGGGTGGAATAACAATCATGAAAGGCTCACAGCCCCCTTCAGATTCCACCACGCAACTGCTTTCCATCCCCAGGACAGACCCCGCATCTCCATTTGCCCATCCACGGCGCTGCGGCGTTAAACCTGACACTGATGCGGCTGTCTCTATTCTGTCTAATTGCATCTCTGACATAAAAACTTGGATGACTCAAAATTTCCCTCATCTTAACTGTGACAAGACTGAAGTCATGCTTTTTAGCTCCCCCCATCAAAGTTGTAAAGCCAATCCTGTATCCTGTAACCCTGTCTGTGGATGGTACTGTACTTGAGCTTCACTCTAAATCGGAAAACCTTGGGGTGATATTCGATTGAGGCTTAACATTCGACCCACATGTGCCGCATATTGTTAAAACATCTTTTTTTCACCTCAGAAATATCGTTAGACTATGCCCTGTGTTATCACTCACTGTGGCTGAAAAGCTGGTCAACACATTTGTCCCGAATTGACTACTGTAATGCTCTGCTCGCTGGGGTATGTAAATCCACATTGAACAAACGCCAGTATGTTCAAAATTCGGCAGCCAAAATCCTGACCAGGTCTAGTGCAAGTGATCACATTACTCCTATCCTGGAGTCCTTGCACTGGCTTCCTGTCAAGTTTCATGTTGACTTCAAAATCCTCATGCTCACCCATAAGACTCTGCAGGGCTTGGCACCTCAGTTCCTGTTTGAGCTATTATCACCCTACTACCCACCTCACAACTTTCGCTCTTCTAATTCTGGTCTCCTATGTGTCCACCAAACCTGTCTACACTCTGTGGGTGACAGGGCCTTCTCCTGTTATGCCCTTAAGCTCTGGAATTCTCTCCCCAAGGATATCAGATATAATTTACCTTCTGAAAACTCCTTCAAATCCAGACTCAAAACCTTCTTCTTTTGAACAGCCTTCCCTTAACTGGTTCCATTCTTCACCCCTCTGCTCCTACTGTATTTAGTACCACCATCTACTGTCTCTTCCGCATATTCTCACCGTGTTTATCTTGTGTATTTTTTATTGTTTATTTTAATTGTTGCTGCTTTCATTCTGTATAGTGCTTTCAGAAGCCACTTTTAAAAGCGCTATATAAAATAAAGTTTATTATTATTAGGCATCAACCTAGTGACCTGTTCTCCTTTTATACTTCTCAGTGTCGGAAAATGATTCAGAACACAGCGGGAGTCTTTGTTGTTGGGACCCCCTTCTGTTTTAGGTGACGGAGGGGTGTAGTGTAGTCCAAGCTGTCAGCAGGCGAGTGCTCGCCAGTGGTGACGTGCCGATCGTGTGACGTGTGGCGTGTGAGTGTGACCTATTCCCTCTGCAGTATTTATAAATCCGACAGTAAGAGTCAGGATGACCGCGCTCTCGAGCTCGTTCGGTCGCACGAGCCAGCTGACGCGCAGTGAGGACGTTTCGGGTTTCTCGGCGCCTTGAAGGCCGGTCGGAGGGGTTGTGTTGGGAACCGTGACGGGGAGAGTGAGCGTGCCATGGGCTCCACAGCAGTGTTGGTTTACCGCGGCAAACAGGCCGCTGATGCGCAGGAAGTGCGCGGGGGTCCTGAATAATTTAGTGACCAGAGGCAGCAGGAGGGAGTGGAGGGGGATCAGTTTGCGCGCAAGAGTCTGTGCACACCGCGGGGAGGACTGCCCTGTTTGTCTGCCTCTGGTCCGTTTGAAACCAGACTTCCCTGCCTGGCAAACTGCAAGCGCTGTAGTAAATGGGGTTTCCCTTAGTGGACACTGGGATCTGCTGTCATGGTGACATTAACGGACATTGTTGGTCTAGGTTAACCCCACTTCAGTATGTTGATCTCAACCCTGGATCTGGAGGACTCCTGAAGCTTCTGATTTTCATTCCCGCTGAGCATAATTACCAAGACGAATTACTGTAGTTCCTTTAATTAAACCACTGGGCTTATTTGATTAGACCTTTTTAAACTATTTCTTCACTAAAAACATTTTACACGTATTGTACAGCATGTGAACCTCCCTGCACCTGCAAGCAAATCACACAACAAGAAGCATAGCTCCACAGAGGCTCGGAAAACCAGGAGACAGTGCAGAGTTGGCAAAAATCACCGCTGCTCACTTGAATGTCGTTTGAGAAAAAGGCATCCATTTAATTAAAGTGATCAATTGCCCTCAGTGGTTAAGAGCTCAGCTGGAATGAAGACCAGAAACTTCAATATCCATCCAGGAACAGGGCAGAGAACCCTGCTTTAGGGAACATTATCAATGAAGTCTGGTGGTGAATACAGATCAGAAGGTCTATTTGGACACAGGAAATGGTGACCTGGCTGTTTCAAGGTTTTGAAATTGCTTGCCGCTGTTGTAGGTTTGGCAAAAACACTCTGCTAAAAGAACCAGTAAATGTTTTATATGTATATTACAATTCCTCAGTGCCATAGGCAGGATACACCCTGAACCCAATGCCAGTCCATCACAGGGCAAACAAACACAGGCACACTCACACCTGGGCCCATTAACCTGCCAGCCTATCTTTGGACAGTGGGAGGAAATCCAAGCGAACTCGGGGAGAACATCCAAACTCCACACAGATAGCACCCCAGGTCTAGAATTGAACCCAGGGCCCCAGTACCACAAGGCAGCAATGTTAACCACTGGGCTACCCCATTGAGTAGTGCTTTCAAAAAAAACAAATAGCAGTTATAGTTTATCATTATATCATGTTTCTAATAACTGCAATCCAGTTCTGCCCTCTATGAAGGGCATCACTGTGATATCTACACTGGAAAGTCTTGCATATTTCAGTGGGAACTTATTTAATTCAAGCACAGCTTGTTCTTGCTTGGAAGTGAGCTTTTGCTCCCTCATCAGCTCCATTCAGGACCCCCAGACTAACACAAAGCCAGGATCACTGCGGCCAGCGTCCCATGACTCACCGCGATGGCCTGCAGCCTCTGCTGGTACTTCTCCGCCTCGTCCATGGTGGTCCTGTAAGGCACAAGAGCGAGCCGGTCAGGACAGTTGGGGTGACCCCAGAAAGATCCCACACCCAGCTCTGTCAAAGGAGGGGGACCCAGGCAGGTGCCCCCTGCCTTTTTCCTGGGAGTGTGGGGTCTTTAAACACTTAGTTTGTGAGCTTTGCATTTGATGTCTGATGCTTTTACAAAAGTCCAAAATGTACTGTATTTTAGGTGCAAGGATTCTATTTCATTGTGCAAATCTAAACTACTCACTCATCTAGCAGTAAGATTTCACTTTAAAGGGCAGACTTTCAGATTTTGTAGTCCATAGCTCATAGTTTACAGTAATGATAAAATCCACGCCGATTTCACTTATTCCGAGTAATTTCTCAGAAAATGAATCTCTGTAACCCGAAGAACATGATTTTCATTTTCACGGACAAGTATGGGCTTGGGTCAGAGATCACCAGGCCCTGGACGGGGAAGCACTGACTTCAGCAGGAGCCCAGGAACCGAGTGATTTTGTACACTTTTTTTCTGCGAGAAATATACGTTGGAGGAGTAAATTATTCTTCTGGTTTGAAACGCTGCCAGCACACTAGAATCAGAGCTTGATTAAGCATCAAGTGCACTGATCTTAAACTGACAAGACAGAAACAAACTACCAGCTGCACTGTGGCAATTAACGAGGCCCACAGTGCTGTTGTTGCCTTCAGCTGCACTGAACCGCTGGGTTCAAAAGGTGTAAGGCGGGCTGGGGGCTAACTAACCTGTGACATTGTCCAGGCGGGTGTTAAATAAACCAATTGCATTGATTTTGTTTCTATATTTATTCTGAACTTCTCATGCTATGGGATTGAGAACAGAATCCTCTGCGTTTGATGTTTGCAGACACTTCAGGAGTACAGCTGTGATGTTTTATAAGGAAATGCACCCAGGACGTCTTCTTCCTTGGGCTCCTTGATTTGAATCCTGACCCCAGCAAGAAAAACCATAAGATAAAAGCAGAAGAGTGAATAGGTGCCCAGGCTCGGCAGGGGCCTTGCTGTTTTGCGAAAGCATCTTACGTTGACGTAGCTTGAGTTTTGATCAGGCCTCGCTGTTGCAGGGAGACACAACTGAAGCAGTTACTGGAGGATCTGTGGTCCCCAGTCGATCTTGGGAGAGTGGCTTTTCTGCAGGTTTTCAGTCCAGATGGGCTCTTTACACCCTGAATCAGCTTTACGGTGCCAATTCCAGGACCAGGACTGTGGACCTGCAGGCTAAAGCACTCTCTGTGTGTTGCTCTAATCTAGAGGGGCTCGGGTATCTGCAGTTCTGCAGCGATGAGCGATGAGATGTTGCATCTGGCAAGAGGATGCAGAGCCAGAGCTGCATTCCAGTAGGTGGTGCTTCTTCCCTCCCTCTTCCCTGCTCCGGACCTGCCAAGAGTTCCTTGTGGGGAATCCGGGAGCTTGGCGCACACAGCGACCTGGCTCCGGGGGGGAGTAAAGAGGTCAGCAGCCTGCATTCCCTGGAATCCGTTGGGGGAAATTCCCTTCCTGAAGAGATGGCAAAGGTGGTCTAAAATATTTGGCTGCGGAGGGCCGACCGCCGTTAATGCATATTTTTCTTTCTTTTTCCTCAGAAATTTGGAATGACAGCCCTTTCCTCTTTTATACCCACCCAGTTTTGGAATCGACAGTTATTGGCAGTTATTCTTACAGAGAACAAAGTAAAAAAATTGCTTACTTTGAACATTTCTAAAAACCAATGTTTTTAGACTTCATCCTGCATGGTATATTTTAAAAACTTTGTGCGTCTGGGAAGGCCCTGACAGGAGCGGTTTCCAGGTGCAGGCAGCAGACTTCCTGTGGAATCCCAGTTCAGAAAGGTGTACTGGAACACCAGCCAGCCCTGGTCAGTATCTGTGGCCTGTGGTGTTGACAGAGCCTGTCCAGTCACGAGTAACTACTACCTGCCTTTCCCAGAAGAGTGGAAAATGTTCCTCAAGTTATACTTTTCTTAAATAGCAGCAAAAACAAAACCACAACAACAAAATGGCTAACCTGCTTGGTATGTTTAAAGTAGAAACAACTTTCCCTTGAATCTCATTTCTTGATGGATCAAAGGAAACTTTTAGGAGCTTCCAGCTAAAAAAGTCATTTGCTACAATATAATTAAGGTCACAGAATAAGTCCTTTGCTGATGAAAAAAAAAAACTTACAATGCACAGCAGTACAAAGGGAGCCTTATCAGACACTTTTCCTGGCTCGTTGGTTCAGTTTAGTGTTCAGTTACCAACCCCACTGTTACTATAGCAATGGATACACAACTGATAGGAAAATAAGCTGCTTTTAACTTACAATGCAAAGCCTTTAAATAGCTCTTTTTCTAAGATGCATATTTTAATTTACTTTCGCTCTGGAGCTACACACCTACCTACCATCTGCTGCGAGCACAGGAAAGCATTAGCAAGACCAGATCTGTGGTTCTGAAGCTCGGGGAGGTCATCAACAAGTGCTGAACACTGACTATGAACACTATACCATTCAGAAGGGCCAATAGGTTATTGTATAGTACAGTACGTCTAAGTTAAAAATGACAGTACAGCGCAGAGGAATTATGGCACAACATTGGTGAAATACACTAACCGAGAGCTAAAACATGATACAGACCAGGGAAAGCTTAAGCAAAGTCGAAATGAAATGCCCTGTGGCTTATCTGTGGTAAACATTCCTAATCATTTCAGGCTTTAGTGTCTTCTAGGAAGCTCTGTGATGCTCCCTCTGCTTTTCGAGATCTTCATGCTTGATAAGTTTCTTTGCAGACTTCAGAGTGGCCCAGGTGGAGCTCCAGGGCAGAGATGTTTTGTGTTCGACCCTGGGTCACTGACTGTCACCGGGTTTCCCCAGACACTATTTGGGGTACAGTATGATTTACGAGGTTCCAGACCCCACATGTACTGTATGACCCCTGATTTAAGCATGGCAAAACAACAGGTACTTTGCCTTTAAAAAAAATTGTGAGCACTCAGATGCTCAACCACAACCACTGAGCAGAGTCTAAACACCAGAAAAAGTAAAAAAAAAAATGCTGCTTTTGACCCCTCTAAAAATTATACCTTTAGTGCCTGGCAACTGAATTTGACTCCCAGAGTTTTTGGACAGGGGGTCAGTGGCTTCCTGTGTCAAAAGCCTTTCTTGAGCACCTTCGTTGGTTAGGGTCCTCTCCTGCAGCAATGTGAACACTCCTCCACAGCACCGTGGAGCTCTCTCTAAGGGTGAGGGTGCTTGTCTGCAGGAATACATTCCTGAGGAATACGGGCGTAATCTGTGTAATCTCAGAATCTGAGCAAAATTACTCCATAGTACATGCCTCGAGCTACTGTACGTGCATATTAACACAGAGGATTTAAAATAACTGGTAGGAATGGCCTCACTGCACATCAGGTGTTTAGAGGATGATTAAAACCAAGTTTACCCCTGGTTCACAGTGCTGTCAGTGCACTATGGTAAGACCGGCGTGACCTGTGTGGTCTTGCTCTTTTAAGGGAGGGCACAGTAAGCGCTAGCCTTCCGTCAGTTAAGAGAGTGAGGTGTTTTCTGGCAATGTGGCTGGGGAAGTGAGTGCAGAAAGGGCAGGGAATGCCACAGGCCTAATTCACTGTCCCGAGGGGAAAGAACAATCACTCTGCCAGCGCAGGGAAAGCACTTCACAGAGAACATAAAAAGAAGGGAGTGTTTTAAGTCATGGGTGAGGGAAACTTTTAAGCATTACTTTTGGTTGGTGTTGGCAGGCACCTGGTGCTCAACGCCAAGGTGTGTTAGTCAGAATACGTTTCACTGGTTATCTTAGCCACGATCGAGTCAGGCAGCAACTCGTGTTGTGTGCTTCTTTCGGGGGGCTTCTCTTTTTAGGTGTGTAGAAATAGTCACACCACTGGAGACAGTGATTATGGACATGCTTGCTTCCTGTCGACCCAAACAGGAGTGTGGCTGGGCCTTGAGGCCCGTGTGCCTGCAAAGCCTTTCAATCGTCACCTTCCTCCAACCTTGAGAAAAGGAAACAAGGAAATTCAGGTGGGCCGAGAATAACGAGACCTCTGTACGCAACGTGTCTGGACTGGTGGAGCACTTAAGGTACAACTGAAGGACAATGGTTTCGGCTACAGGCCATTAAGCCCCACAGTTACATAACTAATGAATCAGTCAAAAATCAAAAGCTAATTGGTAAGTGTGAGCCTTAAATAAGCATAGAACTGGTCTGAGAAGCTCTTGAGATTCATATATAGCAAGGTAGAAAGTTCCAGCTCAGCAGAGCCCTAACATACAGCAAAGGACACAGATACATTACGTTAGTCCTGACCGCATGTAGACTGACCAAGAGATCACCTCTGGTAACAGTTTTTTGGTTTCTGTATATACTTTAACTGGAAGCCAGTACTGAGTAGCTAGGATATGTGTGAAGTACAGTTTTTAACGGGTTCTGTCTCTTTTGTCTCTCTCTAGCAGCTGAGTCCACACCTGTAACCTTGATATACTGTAGCTTGTCTAGTCTCACCAGTAAAGGCACTCTCCTTGTGCCCAGCCTGGGCCCTGTGAACCGACTGTCACTGTTTTGAACCTGTGTAATTACACCAGCTAGCCGTGACCAGCTGTGCACTGGGAGGAGTCGCACCATTTCACCACCACAGTGCAGGCAGCCCAGTTCATGGTGGCTTTATAGGTGAAAAGTGCCGCCTGCGATTGGTGCTGTGACACACACCTGGGAGTGTGCAGGTTTTCGTCCTCCCCATATGGGTAATGGAGCTGTAGCTCTCCAGCTGCGTCCTACTGTAATTGCATGTCCCCAATTGATGGGTGTGTAATAACAAACAGACGATTGTAACGTTGTTGAAAAGGAGCTTCTCTGGATAATACCTGGGTGGATCGTCTTCACTCAGGTTCAGAAAGGCTCAGTCCTTCTAGCAAGAATTAGAACAGAATTCTAAATTCCAAAACAAGTGGGAATCGGATGCAGTTTTCGTTCACGTGATGCGGACCAGGCACTGGTCTCTCCCTAGCAGCCGAGTCTGCACCTGTAACCTTGATATAGCGGGTGAGCTCCCCTTCACATTCTAATGTCAGCAGTGTGTGAAAGTAGCTTTTCAGGGGCTCCACGGTATCTCTAAGCTGATCCTCCCTAAATAAAGGCAATTAGGGAAAGAAAAGACAGAATCTCTTTGTTGGACGACAGCTCCCCAGACACCACAAATAACTCTCTGGTGCCTCTGAGAGACAGTGTGCTGCTGTCTGCCTTCCAGACACGGTAAAGACAAGGTTAAACACAGAGCGGGGGACACGGACGTTCTGATACCTGTACAGAAATACTGGTTCCCGTGACAGTCGTTAACATATGAGCTTGAGTGTATGGCAAACAGGGTGGCAGTCAGCAAAGTCCTGTAGGCCGAGAGAGGCATTTAGCATTTGTAGTACTGTTTCATCAAGACACAGATCAGTGCCACTCCACTCTCCCTGTATGAACAAGCCTCTCTGTTCCCTGTCTGAGCTTGGTACTCTTCCAGTGTACCTGGGGCGTCCTGTTTATGCTCTTGGGCCTTCCTGAATGATGGCTTCTTTGTGGTTTTGCACAGATGAAGCCAAGCTGAATCCCCAAGAGTAAAACTCAAGGTCAAGTAACCGACTTAAAAAAAAAAACAGGATAAAGGACCTTTTGACAAACTGAGATAGTTTATATTGAATTTTAAGACAGATTTGTAGTGCCTATAAAAGAAGAAAATATAATCTCCTCACATAAGTGGTAACAATGTGGTCTGTGTTTTAAGTCGCCATTTTTGTGCTCCTATTTTTTTTAATAAAACTTGGCCAGGAGCTTTTCATGCTAAATATTTTCCTTGCTACTAGAATCAAAACAAATCTTCTTGTTGCACGGCAGTTTGATTCAGGTTTTATCAGCAGGATAAACTAGTGTAATCTGGCAATGTTGGATTTACATATCTGTATCCACACAAATGTACTGTACATGAATCGAGTTAACTAGCCTGAAATATCCACCGCTTGGTGAGGACTTATGTTTGATAACATAGCTGTACGGAGTCTAATTTCCAGCCCCCACCGTAGTTAACGAAGTGGCTCATCAAAAGTAAAGTGCCAGGAAGTTAGTGTTTATGAAACCTGCTTCTTTCACCAAAAGCATAGAAAAGCATTTCTCTCTTCTACCTGTGCAGAATGAACATGCACCCTGAGCGCTCAGCCAAAAACGAACTGAAAACCACACAGCTTGCCATCAAGGTCCCAGCTAGAAAGAAATTATAGAAAATGACAAAAGTCTCCTCCAGTGGATGAGAAGGAATGCTCTTGAAGAAGACAGGTCAGCCCACAATATTCAGACCCTTGATGCATCTCATCAGAGCTCTGGAAAACATTCCTTTAACACTACAGGTGCACAGAATTGTATCACAGGTCCCTTGAAACTGAGGCTTGCTGCTTTGCTGTGCTCAATAACTATGACAGAGTCATTTAAAAATCCGCCAGCCCGGCACCTTGTGAATTCATCACCCCTCTCTCTCCTCTGTGGCTCTCAATAATACATGCCCTGTTGACTCCGAGACGTGAACCGACACGCCCCAGGAATGTGTCACGCAGAACCCAGCGGAATGAGAGGCAGAGATAAGGCGCTCCTTTCGGAAAACAGCAATCAGCTGCAATCGGCTGATTGCAGTCAGATGCAAAAGCATTAATAACAGGGTGTCCGTCCCACTGTCCTTAGGGCTGAAGAAAAGGCGTCATTTTTTTCTTCTTATCGTCTTCTGTGCAGTAACCTCAGCAGTTTTGGCAGTAAAGGAGGCTGGGGCCACACGGATAGCACAACAGGGAAAGCTTTTGAAGTGTTAAACCGGTGGAGTGCTAGATCTTGCTTTGCTCAAGGGCATGCGAATGAACTGGAACCTGACTGGAATGCCGACCTGGTTTTTCGACTTTGTTACCTGCTGCTTCTCACTTAAAGTTATGAAGTCCTTAAAGACTCCCTGCGCACAGCAAAATCCAGCTTTAGCATTAAAACCTAATTAAAGACAGCGTTCTCCTGAAGTGACACTGAGCTGTGTTCAATATTGAACGTAGCCTCAAAAGTACTTATAGGGTCAGCGGTCATTTTTACTTCCTCCCTGTATGTCTAATGATCGGGTCATTTTTTTCATGCAGCTCTTCTGAAAATGAATGTTTATGATGAGGTTGAGACAAGTCAGGCTCCGTAACTACCCAGCCACGTTGGCTGTTATCCTGGCTTCTTTCAAGAAACTCCTGAATGAGATCCTCAGGTCAATTGGCTACCCATAAAGGCTAGAAGGGCCCCCTGGCCTCCCCACTGTAACTGTTCATAAATAGAAACTCGTACAAATATTATATCATGCCATTGAGTTTTTTTTCCTCTGTTTTTGGGGTTGCTGTTGTGCTGAAACTAATCCTGAAGCTAATCTAAAAGTGAGGTAAATGCCCATCCAAACATCTATAAAACAGAAGGTCTGCATTCAGGGTGGGGGGCAGTCATGCAGAATCAACAGTAGATTTCAATGAATTGGGGTTCCATGGCACAAAATCTGCTGAAAACGTGTGCGAGTTGGAATTCAAATATTTAAGAGACACTTTCTATAATAAAAGCCATTAATGGTATGGGTATTCTGCATCTTTTTTTTCAAATGTATTTTCTCTGCCAGTCTCAAACTTGCAGGAATGTACCCTAATCATCAAAACTTTACAAAATGCCTGTTTCGTATTTTCAAAATAATGTGGAGGTGAGTCTTAGTGCCTGTCACTATGTAGGAGCTGAGAGATGATATGTAGAATTTGAAATATTTCAGCTCCCCACAACCACTATGGTATGACCAAAGCACAATGTCAAAACCTTAGGCAACAACAGAAAACCCAAATCCAAACACCACAGCATTCCAGTCAGTGAGCATGAGGCGATTGTCATAAAATGTGATTTGAAGTTGTCAAAAATAAAAATGAAGATTTTTTACAAATGTAACGCAAACCCATAAAGGCCCATTCATTCTATCTAGCTTATTTGTTTTTTAGTCAGCAATTGATCCAAGGATCTTATTCAGCTTTTTCTTGAAAGAAGCCTTCCAAGGTAACATCTTGGAAAACATGGCTGGGTAACCTGTTCCAGCCTTAACCTATTGTTTATGTAGTTCCTCCAGATGTCCATTATACACGCACGCAAGTCTATGGGGCTAGCTTTGTCAATGCTGTGAGGATTTACTGTAGAATAACAAGTTCAGGTTTTTAAGCAGTCTCCTCTATTCCCCGGCTCAAAAGCTTTCTTTTAGCACCTCCCTGTAGGACAGACCATTGAGCACAGGAATGGGCTCGTCTCTGAACTGATTCCAGAGTGACGATACAGGTATCCGTCTTTTATATCACAGTGTCCAAAACTGAATGCAGTATTCTAATTGTGGCCTTGTACATAAACCACATTCAAACACCTCCCCTGGCAGTACAGACACTCCCCAGGTCACAGACACCCACACATCCGAACAGAGATCCACAAGGTACGGTACACCACCTTTGTCACTCTTTTGGGATGTTACACACAGCAGTGCAGTGGATTTATGTGTTATTATCATTATTAAATTCATTACGCTGAAGTGATTGGAGAGATGAACCTTGCTTAAGGGAACAATCTCCCAGCATTTGACACCCAATCTTCCAGTTCCTAGTTCAGAGCCCCCTTACTCCTCCATAATGCTGCCTCTTCTCAGTTGCTTGTTCCTGAATTGCCTTCCAAATGAAAGCCGTTCCTTCGCCTCCCAAATTGAAGCGGCGTGTGTTCATACCATTTTTTTAAAACAAAGAAGGACCCAGTTCATGGCTGATAGGCATAAGATCTTGTTCTGTCTGGAGCCACGTTGATTACAGATGGGCTGTGCCGAATTGTGGGAGATCAGAAAAAGAAAGAGGTAGTCACAGTCTCCTGACTTGTTTCTGTGTTATTTCCTTAGCAAATAATCTTATTCGGGGGCGACTTGGCCTTTACAAAGTTGGACTTACTGTAAGTGGAAGTACAAAGGAAACATTAGATAAGATTACAAGCGAGTACTAGTACAATTACGTTAACAGAACTCCATCATCAAATAACACATGGCAAACAGTTAACATGTTCCTTCTGCCTCATTAATGAAATGATGACATCTTAACAACAGCTGATTAGACCTCTAAAGGCCGAATAAAAACCCGAAGAGCTTCTGTGCTTTTATTCCCAATCAGTTACACTCACACACTCTGGGTTTATCACTGTGAGAACACAAGAATGAATACGTACTCAAGCCAGAGGGTATGTGTCTGCACAGACACAGATAACATAGTAATTAGTGAGGGAAATGGGTTCTGCTTCAGTGCCAGGTGATTTGGATCCTGTGCTGCTTATTTTAAGGGGCTAACAACCCTGCAGCCCTTCAAACACAATCTAAGGCAGGAGCAGTTGGAATCAGAACCATATTTCTAATTAAAGAGTCCTTTGGAACTATTAAGTATTGATACTCCCATCTTCCTCGGGGCATTTTTCCAGTGGAAATTTGCTATGCTTTTCTGACACTGAAAGTACAAGATTGTGTTTTGTTGCTTAATGTTTGGGTGTACTAGTATGGCACGTAGGGTGCCAAACCAATACAGTATCACAACCGTGTCTTCACCCAGAAAATCACGCTGTATTGCAGCGCGCTAGGTTTGACGGGTAGGTAGGCTTTTTTCCAGGAAAAATGAATTTTTCATAGTTATTCATCAGGGCTGAGCAGTTCATCATATGTTTTCAACAGTAGCAGCCTACAAATATAGGCAGCTAGTGTTAGTGTCATGAAGACAATAGCAGAATTCGAGTTGAAAAGGAAGTTTGATTCCATACCTACGTGATGTGTGAGCAAGTAAGAACACTGGAAACAGGCCAGTCTGCTGCTTTCAGGTGGTGTACAACCCCCATATTCCATTATTTTAAAAGGTGAACAAAAATGTTTTTTGTTTTGCAAACTTGTGGGAGAGAAATTGTATCACATTATAATCCCAACTATAGGAGCAGCTGTGCAGTACCAGGATACCAGGGTTCGGCAGTACTGTAATTCGACTCACTCACACAGGAGGAGCAGGACAAGCCAACTGAAGCTCCGACGGGATATTCCCAACTCTGAGGTGCAACAAAATAGCGCTGTTATTGAAAAAAGAACGAGCACTTTTGAATATTTAAATATCACAGCAAGCCACGCTTAGAGTCGCTTATACCGAGATCCTTCATGGCTCTCTGTGTGCGTCCAATCTTGCAGGATTTCACTGAAATTCCCAAAATGTGTAGCGATAGCAAAAGCAATATTTGAAAGAGATGCCTTAGAATTTTATGCCCCAGTAAACCTTGTGGTAGGGTGAGGGATGCAGCTCAAAATTCTGCCTCGGGACATTGAACATTTCTGTGGTGGAGCAAACAAAACCCAATCCCAAGTCGTGCTCTTTAAAAAAAGGATGCCCGCCTACCATTAGCAGAAAAAAAAGATAAGCTTTTTCTCTGGTCCCGGCCTCCAGGCCCTCCAGGACACATTCCTCTCCCTGTTGTAAGTTCATGGTCTGCTTCTTACAACCTAACACTGGCTGGGTTGGTGATAGTTACCTCCCCCATGCGTGTGTGCTGTCGGGCTGTAGGTTGTGTACACCACTTTCACAACATCTGGAGAGCAGAAACAGCACAGATTCATCTGGCTCAAACAATCCAGGGGGACTGACCCCACGTTCCTGCACGCATCAGCAGCACTGCCAACACATCCACAGGACCAGTCCTGTTAGCAGTAACTGTGGCAAATGTCAGGGAACTTTGTACACACCTTTGAATTGAAGGTTAATTGTAAGAGCTGTGCTGCACAGACTAGACAGGGGTGATGACAGACGGACTTTACAGCAGTATGGAATGCTCACATCCCTGCCTTTGAAAGCTCAAAGCTGCAGCAATTGAACTTTTATCTCGGTGACCCCCTGACACCGAAGGAGCAGCATTTTGAGTCTAGATTCTTCACATTTTTTAGCAAAAAAAGTTGCTTTGGAATTCACAATTTGCTTTGGAATACACAATTTGCTTTGGAAGAAATGGAAGGCTGCTAGCTCCAGTGGTTTCACGGTAGGTATGTGAAAATGTTTACAGACATTCCTGGCTCACATCTGTACACATACTGGGGAGGAAGAGTCTAGTGCCTGTATTTGCACTTGGGGTGGAAGGGAGACTGGTGTTTTCTATTCTAATCCTGTTTTTGATCTTCCTATCTTTGTTGTTAATGTCTTTCTGCTGGACCCAGTTTTCTCTGTGGGTGGCAGGAAGCCAGTTTCGTTCAGTTGCTGTGGGCACGCAGCATCCTCTGCAGTAAGACACAGGCCTGACGCGTCTCAGAAACCCTTGGGTTGAACAGCCTTCCTCGTCCTCAGGACAGGTATGAACGTGAAGCTTCTGTTGTGTTAAACCTTTCTTTTCTTTCCCAGGGCAAAGACTAGCAAGGCTGTGGCTACATGCTTCACCAGGAGCTTTGCTGCCTTTGTGTATCTGGAGGCAGCACAGCAAGTGCTGCTTTGTGCTTCGTTTTCGGGAAGGGTCTTAAACTGGAGCACACTGATCAGGTTTAGCGCAGGAGCACTCCTGTCAAGCTGGCTGGTTTACAGCAGTCATTCCAGAGCAGCGCAGGGAAGCAGTGATGTATTGAGAAGCTTTTTGGAACTGCCTTCTCATTTAGTATCTCAGCAAATGCACTGTAAAAATCCAGGGATGATCAGATATAAAGCAAAGTGACATCAGGGAGACTGACTAATGACTGCATTTTCCCCTGGTTTTTCAAATCACTGAAGAATGAATGAACCACTTTAAAACTTCATTTGAAAGGCTTATGAGGCATGTTAATCCTTTAAGCTCATTAGCTACCTGTAGTTTTACAGTTTCCTTGTATGCCCTGCTTAAGAATAGTTAGGAGAGGAGAGAGTATTTAAGAATATTCTTAAATAAAAATGAAAATCCTTTTTGAGACGCAAAGCCTTTTTTACCCAGCTACAACTTGTCTGTGACTAACGGGGCTATGTTTCAACCCTGATCTAGTAGAGGACGCACAAGCACACTGTATGTGCTGCTGAATGACAGGTCTGTATTTCAGCAGCAGACACCCCAGATTCCTTGTTTCTGCTTCTGTACAGTATGTGAGTCAGGATGAGCTACCCTAAAGCTCTGGAAGAACTAAGACCGGTCCTGCCTTCATGCTGGGAGACAGTATTAAGATAAGATCACTTTATTGGCCAAATACAATTTCTTGTATTGTTAATTTGTCTTTTCGCATACACCCAACTTGCTCTCTATGAGACACACAGACAGGGGGAGAAGCTTGGGGTCAGCTGGGGTTAAGGGCCTTGCTCGGGAGCCCAACGGAGTTGGATTCCTTTGCCAGCCTCGGGATACGAACCGGCAGCCTTCCAGCCACAAGCGCAGATCCTTAGCCACAGAGTCGCCGCACTGGGATGCTACACGGTAAACATGGCTACATGTTGGCATGACGTTTCTCCTTCAACCCTTGCTGTGCGTCCCTCTGAGCCATCGACTGAACC